CTCTTGCACAAACAAAGCAAATTCAGGTTCTCCCTGACATTCCCTTGCCCCTTGGTTCTCTCCACACTGAGCTGGCAAAGGGAACTCCCAGCCTGCCCACTTGGGAGTCAGGGCTTTGGGGGAGCAGTTGTGTATGTAGCATCCTATAAATCATACTCTTTCCCTTGGCCATAGCCCAGGTTTGGGGAGACCAAGTTGCCTTTAGATAGAGGATTCTAACACTGTGGTCTCTGAAATTTCTTTTTTAAGGAAGTTAACCAATGCCCATCTTTCCAACTTTTCCGTCTTAAAGTCACTCTTGTCTATCTTTGAGAAACAGCCCTTTGACCATATGGGGTCTAGATCTACCTCTACTTTGGGTCCAGCAGCCATTATGCAAGTTTTACTAGGTGCCATGAGGCTCTCCTTCCCAACAAGTCCAGTCTGGTCTGGTGTCCCAGTCCAGTGGTGGGCTGGACAGCCAATGTGTGCCTCTCTTCCCAACTCTGCATTCAATGCCATCAGTTTGGTAGCTTGAAATCTGCCAGGGTGGGAATATTTACAATATTGAAATGGGCACCAATTCATGTTGTCTTTTCCCCAGAAATCCCAGTGCTAAACATTTACCAACACACCACTTCCCAAGGCTGAGTTCCACTTCCCTGGAGTAAACATTGCCCTTTTCACTGGGTCAAGTCCATGTACCTGTGTGTGGGAATAAATTCCTTTGATCAGTGCACCAAAAATCTTTTACAGAGCTGCTATTCTAAGAGTCCCTCAGATTGGATCCTGAGGGCTAGCATATTTGTACTTGTACTTGGGTCAGCCTAGGGAGGTGGGGATATAAAATGGGCTTATGTATGGGCATGTCTTGATTATTGTTGGGAGTTAGCCAACAATGGGTTGGCTGCCCTGTCCCATGGAATTCCTCCATGGAGACTACAATGAGAGGCCTGGTAACCCTGTCCATGTTTCTACTAACTTGTAACCTTTCTCAGAAAGTCTCCCTTCCTCCCCTCCTTTCCTACTATACCATCTCTCTCCCCCACCTTCTTTCTCCTTCACTATGTCTCATTCTTTCTCTTGTGCACATGCATGCACACATACATACACACACAGAAACACAGGCACACATGCACTGTGGTAACTATTAAGAAAACAAAGTGAGTTTTCTTAACATACAAGAAAATGAGTATACAGAAGGAATTCTTCCCATAATTAAAAACCAAAATCAAAAGGCAACACAAAAACATAATGTTTTCTTCTACCTCAGATCACAGATACCTAGAATTAGAAAATGTAGTGTTGAATGTTCCCATTATGGAAAGTTCCCCTTGGTAGCCAACTCTTTTCATACATTTTCATAAGATACATTTATTTATTTACCTTCTCACAAGGCACCTCTAGAAACATCAACCATGAAAAATAGATGTCTAATGATGACAAAATTGATGCTGGTGTTGATGATGAATTTGATAACAAAGACAAGGGAGATTACTCAGTTCCAAGCTTGCATTCCCCCACTGCAGATTACCAGGAACTAACTGCCTTTGTGTAACTTCAGCAACCAACTCAGAATGAATGTGCTGGGTAAGGTGGGAAAGAGTTTCCTGGCAAGTATCGCTCTAGGAATGACCTCCTGTCACACAACGTTACATTACTTTCTGGTTTACAATACAGTGATTTAACATCTCTATACATTATGCTTTGCTCATCCCAAGTGTAGTCACTGTCTGTCACTACACAACATTATTACAATATTATTGACTATATTCCCTATGCTGTATTTTTCATCCCCATGTCTTATTTATTTCATAACTGGAAGTTTGTACCTTTAACCTTTGTCTGCACAAGTAAGTATCAGAAACGAAATAACTAAAAAAAGGAAAAAAATAATAGGAAAGCTCAAGAGTGTTACTACTTGCATACATGATTGCTCTAGATGTTAGAGACCCCTGGGAAAAATGCAGAATCAAGATGCATAGTCTCCTAACAGGACAGACTCAGGGGCAACAATGAGATCTCTGATAAGACTTCTGTTGATGTTTTTGATGAGCCAGATGAGGAAGATAAGATTGAGAAGGTAAAATGTGGGCACAAACACTAACTAACTCGTAACTCAACAATTTTTAAGTAATTCTGCTCCCTTCTATCTGGAGCAGGGAGCTGTAGTTCCAAGTGTGGGAGCAGAGTCCTGTTTCCAGCTTCACCACCACCTTCATTCATGACTTTGCAGCAGTGATGCCACCTCTCTGCACCTCAGTTTCTTCTGTTATCCTCCTTCCAAACGCAAAGAATCTGTTTTCTAAAGACCTCAAATGTCAGAAAAATATATACATAAGTGTCCCAACAAATTCTGAAAAAATAGATTAATAAAATTCAATATTAGATCTCAGTAAAAAGATCGTAGAAAATTCAGAGGAAAAAGATTATCTGTGAGATGATGAACATAATTTGTTGCAAGTGAAAAAATCATAATGTGCCAATTACTATTATAAATTAGTTTTGTGCTGAAATTCTAACAAACTAAAAAGTACAGAAACATGTACATGTTATGTATATATATGTAAAGAAAGGGGCACCTGGTTGGCTCAGCCATTAAGCGTCTGCCTTCAGCTCAGGTCATTATCCCAGGGTCCTGGGATGGAGCCCCACATCTGGCTCCCTGCTTGGCAGGAAGCCTGCTTCTCCCTCTCACATTCCCTTTGCTTGTGTTCCCTCTCTCTCTGTCTCTCTCTCTGTCAAATAAACAAATAAAATCTTTAAAAAAAAGACACAAAACTGTCATCATTTGCAAATAATATCCGTACTTTTGCTGCCATCATCTGCATTTGCTTCACACTACAATGGAAGAGGTCCACTGAATTAAAGATCTCATTGTAACAGTTTCCAGGGATTCTAGCTCTGAGAAGGAGCGTCAATAAAATAGAACAAAATACAACTTTGATCACACAATTTGAGTTTTATTGTTGAATAAGGTTAAAAGACCAAGAGCAAATCTGGTTCCATACTAACCTTTGGGGATTATAAATCCACTGAGAATATCAGCTAGAAAACCTCCTTAATCTACATAAAGTATGATGAACCCAGGAGGTAGAGAGAGCAAAAGGTCAGAGAAGAGAAAAAAGCATTTGGCTGGGAAAAGCCCGGGAACATCTGGCTCTTCCTTCTTTGCTTTCCCGTGGTCCTCAGGGCCCTGGTCAGCAGCAGCCCCCAGAGCCGTGGCAGCAACTGGAGCCCCCAAGGACTCACTCATAGTCGTCACGGCTTTGGTGCTGGCTCTGATGGAAGAGATGGGGCCTGCGGTGACCCAGGCAGCAGCTGCCACCCCCAGAGATAAAGTCACAGCAGGAAGAGACTGGAGGGGGACATGAGGCTGGGCACTGGGATGGGGGACACTTTGGAGGGAGTTTGCACTGCTGCTGGTTCTGCTGGCAGGACATCAATAGAGCAGAAGTTCAATGCAGCTGAGAGAGAACACAAAATATTTTCATGTGCATTAAGCTTTATGTAATGTTACTTCCAGTCCAATTTTGTATCTTTCCACCAAAAAATAATGAGTTAACCTAGAAAAGATTTAAGAAGTCATCCTACAATTTCAATAAGCTTTATGTTGATCCATGTACTAAAAAAAGCTATTTCATTCTACTTGCCAAATGAATTCTGTGTCTGCAGGGAATTCAGAAGAGGGAGTGGCGCCAGTCTTTCCAGACTTGCATGGAAACCTGGTACCCAGGTAGAACAGGGCAGTCTTCTGAGACAGGCCTTTGGGAAGCCAGCCCCAGGGCAGAGTTGACATAGACTCAAGTATAGTTCCATCCAGTAAGGGGCCAGTTTCAGATGAGTTTCGTGACAAACGTCATCTAGAAACATTGCACTTCTATATTCCTATGTCAGAAAGCTAGTTTTATTTCAGATATAAATAAAACCATTTTACATGTTTCTTCACATATCACCTTCTCATGGTTGCCTGATCATTCCACTCATTCCTCCTCTGAAAATTCACCAGGTGTATCTCTACCCCTGCCCAGAGCCTACCCTGGGTTTCCAGAAACATTTACCCTGGTTATATACCTGAACACAGACAAGTGAGCAGGTTTCAGGACACCTGGAGGGGATGAGGAGCCAGTTCCAGGGACATCTTTTACAGGAGAGGCAGGCCTGGGCTTTAAGGTGAGTTGTGACCCTGGGTGAGGTAGGTGGCAGCACCACACAACTGAGTGTGTGCTGGGTCATCCCTGACATTCACCTGCTCCCCTAAAGTCCCTCATCCACCTGCCCTGAGGCCATGGGGTCTTCAGCTGCCCAGTGCTGGAGTCAGGGTTCCTGACTGGGCATTTCTCATGATAGAATCCCAGTGTCTGAATAATGCAATATATGTTAAGAAAAAAAAAAAAGAAGAAGAAGAAGAAGAAGAAGAAGAAGAAAGAAGGTAGCAGGAGGGGAAGAATGAAGGGGGGGGAATCGGAGGGGTAGACGAACCATGAGAGATGATGAACTCTGAAAAACAAACTGAGGGTTCTAGAGGGGAGGGGGGTGGGAGGATGGGTTAGCCTGGTGATGGGTATTGAGGAGGGCACATTCTGTATGGAGCACTGGGTGTTATGCACAAACAATGAATCATGGAACACTACATCTAAAACTAATGATGTAATGTATGGGGATTAACATATGAATAAAAAAAAAAAAAAAGAATCCCAGTGTCTGAGCTCTGGGACCAGGATCTGTTTGCTCGGGTCACCATAATCCTTTGTCTAGTATTACATAGCATGGCATGTGACTAGCAGCTTTGATCTGGGTCACCTGAAAACATAAACCAGATGTATAGCTGTGCAGGGACAAAGTAATATATAATAAGAATACAGAGTCATGTCTCTGAGCAGATTATTTTAAATTAAGACTCAAAACTATCATAATTGACAATAATGTATATGTGTTGGCAAAACAATAAAACTCAGCTAGTGAGTTGAGAGGTCCCCAACTATGAAAATATAGTAGATGTGGTCCTCTCTCAGCGCCATTTTGTGGCAGCGAGACCTGCAAATAAAGGGGAGCGACGGGGCTGCGGCGGTAGGAGGAGCGCGGGGGCTGGGGGTAGTGAGGTCTGGAGGTCTGGGCGGCGAGCGGGCAGTGGGGCCTTGGCCTATGTGACTGGGCGGCGCCGGCGCGGCCTCCGTCTGGAGAGGATTCAAGATGACCAACGAGGAACCTCTTCCCAAAAAGGTTCGGCTGAGTGAAACAGACTTCAAAGTTATGGCATGGGATGAGTTAATTCTAAGATGGAAACAGTATGAAGCATATGTCCAAGCTTTGGAGGGCAAGTACACAGATCTTAATTCTAATGATGTAACTGGGTTAAGGGAGTCTGAAGAAAAACTAAAGCAACAACAGCAAGAGTCTGCTCGCAGGGAAAACATCCTTGTAATGCGACTAGCAACCAAGGAGCAAGAGATGCAAGAGTGTACTACTCAAATCCAGTACCTCAAGCAAGTCCAGCAGCCTAGCGTTGCCCAACTGAGATCAACAATGGTAGACCCAGCGATCAACTTGTTTTTCCTAAAAATGAAAGGTGAACTGGAACAGACTAAAGACAAACTGGAACAAGCCCAAAATGAACTGAGTGCCTGGAAGTTTACGCCTGATAGGTAAACAAATCATACTCCCCAGTCAAGACTTCCCTGACAGTCCCACTATGAGAAAGCTGTGGTGGGACAGCCAAGTACTCGTTTCCACACCAAGACTCAGACTTTTTGAGCCAAAAAAAGCCACATTCTTATACTATCCAGCTTGTAATGGTTAATGTAAAACTTACCAGATGAACCTTGTGTTTCAGCTTTTTTCTCTTTCCCCTCCCCTTGCTTCAGAGGCCTGATGGCATCGGACTATTCCAAAGAAGTGGCCACCTCCGAAAAATTCCCCTTCTAGAACATGTAGACACTTGAGAAATGTTTCTGTTTGAAGAAAATAGAGGGAGAAACAGAAGTTTTAAGTCTGTGGCACACTGTGTCTTCAGACAGTTTGGAGGAATGAAAACCTAGAGATTTAAAATCATGAATTGAACATGTAAAATTCCAGTAAAATGTAAAAATGGAATATGCATCGCTCTTAACCTTGAGCATAGTGACTTAGAGACACTGTATATCAGTTTTGCCAATAAGACTGTGGACTTCGTGATTGTTGTTGAACTTCTGGGTCAAAACTCAAATGAGGTGAATTTTGCCTTTAAAGAGTTTATTTGCTAAGAACCAATTTAATAATAGTCACGAGAGAATCAAATAATAGATGTCAGTACAAGTAGTTCATATATTTAACCATTTAGTTTGGGGCTCTATATCACTTGATTGAGCCTTAAATCAATGTGGTTTTAATCAATGGTTTGTTCTTTGAATGGTTGCTAATGCTGTAGATAATCTTATTGAGGACTGTACAAACAAAAAGGTGTGGTATCAAACTTCAGGTTGAAAATGTTTGAAGCATTATAAACATTCATTTCACTACTAGATTGTATAAGGATATTGGCTGTGATGAGACTCACTGCATTATTTTTTTTAGTAGTGAAATTAAATCCTCATTCCATTCAACAGGCACATGTTGAAAGAGCATTGTCGTTGGTGTTAATGGGGGAATGTGTTTCCTTCATTGTATTTGGGCCTTTTGTATTGCACTCTTGATATTAAATTAAATGTGCCTTGAAATTTAAAAAAAAAAAAAAGAAAAGAAAAGAAAATATAGTAGATGTTCCCAGAAAAAACAAGAAAAGGCTAAAGTCAGTTAAATTTAGACCCTGTAGACTTTTAGGGTGGACACTCTGAAGGTTTATCTCCACCTAAGCTTCTGTCCTTCCTCCCCCTCTGCTCATCCTCTTCGGCCTGATTCTCTGAATCTTCCTTCCCTCTGAGGGGTGGATCAGGACCTCCCTCCTGCATCAGTGGCCAGTGCAGGGTGGAGAGGAGAAGGGAACCATAACCCTGAGCTCTGCACTGCTACTGTTTTCCCTTATTGATAAAGCCAGGTCAGGGTGGCTGCCTCCAGGGAGCCCCTCAGTATGCCCAAATGCCACAGAGAGTCAGCCTTTTAGTTTTGTTTTCTGGGAAACCCACTCTGGGTGCCTCACCCACCCTTCCCCTCTGATTTGCCTCAGAGCACTTGGCCTTTGCTATTGTTAGAGCCCATGGCAGTGGCATTGTGGGTATAAATGTATGAATTTTTATGTTGAAAGGCACTCTTGTGACTCTTCCAAGTGTACTGGAGCACAGCTGGTGAGGTTGTTGTTCTGCTTCCAGATACCCTGGGATCCAACGACGTTTTCTAGAAGACCCTACTCCAGAAGAGGAAAAAAAAAAAAGGCAGATAATAATGGTTAGGTGCCCAGACCTTGGAACAAGACTGCTTGGATTGGATTCCCTACCATGCAACAGCTGTGTGACCTTGAGCTAGTTACTTAACTTCTCTGTTCCTCAGTTTCTACCTTGCTTTTCTTTGCATGACAGCTATTCATTTTTGTTGATTTCATAACCTGCTATTTTGCTAACTCTTTTTATTGTTTGGCAGCAGTGCCATTAACTTTTTAGGGTTTTCCAAGTATATATTTCATTAGCAAATAGAGCTAATCTTACCTCTATCTTTCAAATTCTTATGCCTCTAATTATTTTCTCTTGTCTAATTTCATTGGTTAATATCTTAAATACAATGTTGAAAGGCATTGGAGACAGTGAGCATATTTTTTTCTAAATCTAATGGAAAAGCCTCTAGATTTCCTCCCATTCTATACTGGATTTTGGCCTGAGTTGTATGTATTTAAGGCACGATTTTTTTTTTTTAAAGTACAAGTAAAAGGTGTAGAGGCTGCTTTTAGGCAAATAGACTTGAGCGATGGAATGTAGAAAGGACCCACAGAGAACCACCCCAGGCTGAATACAGACAGGCCCATCAGGTGACCCATCTCAAAATACCCATAGGCCCTCACTGAGCAATGGGCTACTTACAACCAGGCCCGGTTACCAAAAAAGGGAAGATTCCATAGGTTGCCATGCCTCCTCACCTTCCGCCTTTAAAAACAGACCCACCCACTGCCTCCCTGCCGAAAGTCTCTCTTCTGCGGTCCTGCCCGCCGCTACCTTTCGGGGGATTCAATAAACTTCTATCTCCTCTATTCTGCCTCAGGTGAATGCTTTCCCCGTCCGTGCCACCGGCTTCCACCCAATCATCGCCCCACATTTGGGGGCCCTCGAGAGACACCACATTTAGATAACACAAAAGGGTCTTTCAGTTTCCTTATTTTCTAAATATTCTCTGATTTATTTCATTGTCATCAGAGAATGTTTTCTGTATTCTTTGTACTATGGGATTTTCTAAAGGTTATCTTTTTACACTTATAATGGCCTTTTATTGTGAAAGTTTCGTGGACGTTTGAAGATTAGCTGTATTCTCAATTGTCAGGTTAAGTGTTTGGTGTGTATATTAGATCTACCTTACTAAGTATTGATTCTCTATATCCTTTAGTGGACGCTCTTTCTTTTTCCTCAGGTATCCTGTAATTCCTCCTCTATACAAGTTTCTGTATACTAAGTGGCACATATAGTTATAACATTTTTCAGTGTTAATTATTTCTCTTAGCAAAATAAAGTCTTTGTCTTCAAAACACTTTAAAACTTGAATTATGCCTTGTCAAATAGCCAGATGACAACCCTTACTTTCTTATTTACATTACTTTCTTATGTACATTTACCTGGTGTACATTTATCTGGCCCTTTATTTTCCACTTTCTGAATTACTTAGTTTTAGATGTATTTCCTGAATACAGCATAGAACTGAATTTTTCTTTTTGAGCCAATCTAAATTGTTAAACTATTTTCCAGGTGAATTTGCTTGCATTTATTCTTATGACATGGTGACATACTGCTCCTAGGTCAGGCACATTATTTTATGGAAATCCTTATTTTTTTTTTGTCCCTATTACCCTCACTCTTTTTTTTTTTAAAGATTTTATTTATTTATTTGAGAGAGAGAGAATGAGAGACAGAGAGCATGAGAGGGAGGAGGGTCAGAGGGAGAAGCAGACTCCCTGCCGAGCAGGGAGCCCGATGCAGGATTCGATCCTGGGACTCCAGGATCATGACCTGAGCCGAAGGCAGTCACTCAACCAACTGAGCCACCCAGGCACCCCCTACCCTCCCTCTTGATTATGTCTTTGATCTGACAGCTTACCCCTAGTCCATTTGCTGGAGCTTTCTCTGACATGATTCAACAGGCCAGAGGTCATCTGGTTACTTCCTCAGGAAGAGTTCATCAAGCCAAAATCACTGTAGTCTTGCAAGTTTAACACTGTTTATTGCCTTTGTAGTTGAAGGACAACTGGACTGAATCTAAATTCCTTGGTTCACACTTTGTCCCTATCTTGTAGGTAGAATGGAATACCATTGCCTCTGGCATTGGAAATTGCTGTGGAGAAGCCATGGGAATGACCAGAATTCCTTGAACGAGCATTGTATGTTGAGCTTTAGAAAGTCATCCTGTTTCCTCAGGTCAGAGTCCCACAGAGCACTCAGGAGATTCCTGGATCCTGGAATCAGGAGTTTTTTGCTCAAGTTACTTTTATGCTAAAAAATCAGAGGTGTCCTGGCCCCTTATCTTCCTCCTGGGGGAAATGTCTCCATCCAGGGGATAGTTCAGTGTCTGCTTTGGGCCCCATAGCTTCTAGGCTGTTCTACCTCCCAGCTCCTCCCTGTCCCCACTCTGCTTGCTCTGCTTGGCCCTTCTCCTGGGGTGTTACGACTCTACTTCCTTCTTCTGCAGTCCTTGAGGGCTGCCAGCGACATGGGTCCTGTGCCTGCTAGCCGGGACAGTGGAGGAAGAGGGAGGAGGAAACAATGATGCTGAGCACTCCATGTTCACAGTTTGCCTCCTCCCCACACTGGACTCTTGGTTGATGTTGATAATATAGAGGTTCTAAAATTAAGGAAGAGGAGAGAATGAATACAACCAAATAGTTGGGGACAACTAAATAGTTTTGATTACAGTATGACTTTCTAGGAAAGAACGGTGGGACCACTGGACATCTAGAAACAGTGTTCTGGGTGTGCTGCCTTGTATCTGACAGATCACACCTGTGACCTTCATCACAAAAAGTGAGGAAACTCATACCTATGATGACACCTCCATGGATTCAGACATTAGGAGATGCCAGTGTCCTGGGGTGAGGGTAGAAAAGTCGATTTAGCAATCACCTTAGGAGTTTCCAAGGGCGTGGCTCTGAAAGGGGTATGCACTGCATTTTGGGGGTGGGATGGGACACTTTTGAGGAGACAAACCACTCAACTTGGCCATATCTTTAATTGATGAAAACTATGAAAATGTCCAAAAGTAGAGCTTTAAGAAAATTCAAAGGGCTCACTGAGATGGTAGACACCCTTTGCCATGCCTCTTCTTTTTTCTGCCTGAGTCCCAACCCAGACATCACAGGTGGAGCCCCAGCATGACAGTGATGTTGGTGATGTTTGGTGCTCTAGCGGGTTTACAGAGAGAAACTGGAACTAAGAATGAAGGAGGAGAAAAGGAAAAGGAGCCCAGATCTTTGATGATATCATGGAGTTACAAATAGCTCTTGACTATATCCCTCCAAATGTTCAGCATGTGAGATAAAATTAATCCTCTAGTTTATATAAGCACTGCTATTTCAGGTTTCTTTTACTAGAAGCCAAACTAAATTTCTAACACAGATACATATACAAACATAAAAACAAGATATGTTACAAATGCAGACATACCAGAGCTTATACTATACATATGTGAAAGAGGCAGATAAATAAAGGAGTTTCTCCTCACAAAAGCACCTCAAGAAGACCTAAGTCACACTGGGGGGAAAAGGCAGGCTGCTCTCTCTTAAGAGAGAAGTTGCTGTAAGTGGACTTGGGTATGCAGCTCCTTTTAGACCTTCTCTGACCTCAGACCACCTTGGACTTTTCATAAAGTGCTCGAGTACACAATCTGTATTGGAACCGTTGAATGCACTGTCTTCCTCACTGGTCTAAAAGCTTCATATTCAATGCACAATGCCTGTTTCATATGAGGTGCCCAGTGTATATTTGGTTAACAGACAGATAATAAAGGAATGAATGAATTTTATAGTGATTACAGGAAAGCAAGTTATGCAAATTAGATATTAACTTACACGTTTGTCGATGCTGCAGCTACTGATGATGATGGTGACAGGGATGTTAGTGACAGCAGTGGCCAAAATCTCTTTGCCAAGCCTACTCTTACTCCCACAGGTGTTGCTGTCACCTGGTGGTGGTAAAGGGCATGTTCACTGAAGGTCATAACTTTTCAATGATACTGGGTCTTTCTTCTGCCCTCTCCTCAGATTCCTTGACTAAGATGTCAGTGTTTGTGTATCTCTTCTCTTAATGTTGGACATTGAGACTGTTTCTAATTTTTCCTTAACTATAAAATGCTGCTGTAGACCTGATTTCATGAGTGTCCTTGTAGGCATACACAAATGTTTGACTACTTAAGAAACCAAAATTTAAAATTATTGACATAGAGAGTATGTCATTTTTTTGTTGGAATAGTTATGGAAAATTTATCTGTGACAGTCCCACTAATTAAGTGGGACTCCCACCATGTCTGTACAGATAGCTCTTTCCCAAACTTGGTAGTATTTAATATCATAAAACCATTGTTTCTAATA